CAGAAAGGAAGGAGAGCTTCTTAATAAGATACTGTCTCTCCCCCTGTCTCCAACACTCCACCAGAAAAGAAATGGGAGGTTAAAACCAGTATTTGAGAATCAAAGAAATATCCTGTCACTAGTGAAAATTCTATCCTCTTCCATTCCACTCCTAGCCCAACCACCCCACCCCATTTCCCTTCTACCTATACTGTTCATAATATAGTAAGTGTGGAAAGATAAAATGTAACTGGTGAAGCTGGACTGGCCAGTGTTTGAAAAGTTGTGGTAAATTTCCTCTGTACTTCTGACAGGGTGACATACAATGTGGTACAGACAGAGTGAGGGTAGGGGAAGAATACAGATTTTAAAGCAATGGATTTGGCCTACTTAATTCCTTTAGACCCTAATATGCTTTGAGTATAGAAACAGGTGAGAATCCTATAGTTAGCAATGAGTAGAATGTAGGAAAATTGAGAGAAAGAGATAATATTGCTTCCAGTGACCACTCTTCAATTATCCTTGCTGTTGACTCAAATTTAGCTCTTTATCATCCAGAAAGCTTAATCCTCTCCTTCTTCTAGGGTAAATATAGAGTACTATAATTATCATAGTGGTAATCATAATACTTTGTTGTTCATCTAAGTATCACTTGTCATTTTTGCCAACATCCATTAATGATAATCCTCACAACATTCCTGTGAGGTAGATATTTGGATCCCCATTTTACAGATGGGTTAACTGAGGCACAAAGAGGTGATGTGACTTGCCTAAGGTCAATAAAGTGAGAGATGAGAAAATGTGGAAGAGAGATAACAGGGTAGCACCTCTATTGTCAGAGAGCCATATTTTTCAGTGAGAAAAGATAGTGCTAAATGTTTCTTTAAATTGGGCACATCCACTTTCTTCAGTGTACATGTTTCTATATAGGTATTGGCACACTATGGAAGATCAATAATTTCCCTTGGCTTATTAAAGATTAGGTCAATTCCAAATGATCTGGTTCTTAAAAAAAAAAAAACTTTTGAGAGAAGGATACACCCCAAGTTCCTGGAACTCAGGTCATAGAAATCACTAATTCCTGAATTTTGCAGATCACTTTGTTTCAAAGAGCTATTACAGTTCTAAAAATGTTACTATCATGTACATGAGCACTGTGCTCTAGCTGTTTCCACAGCTATAGAAGTAAACAATTCAGATACCACTATACAGGTACTCTGGAACTGAGCAATTAAGTAAGTAGATGGCAAAGTGTGGGAGCCAGGTTTCTCACGGTTGGAGTGGAAGGTCAGAGTAAACAAAGGTTAAATTAATAGTAAACAAAGGATAAGATGATCCATGTGATAATGGATTGGAGTTGGATACATCAGTATGAACTCATGTTTAGGTTAATAAAGATATGGATGATTACATACAGAACTATCTATAGATACATGTATGTATATATAGATATACATGGGTTAGTATATATGCATATATTTCCTTTCTCTATCAGCTGAAATGACCTAGAGGCAACAAGACAACTGTAGCAATAAGCATACCTAATGCCCAGATCTTGACTTCTAACATAATTTTCCATTAACAGAAACCAGGACTCCTTAAAGAAATGGTTGATTATAGGATTGGGAAAAAAATAAGAAATACAAGATGAGCTTGGAGCATCTTGTAGTGCTACAAAATAAAGGTGTCCTAAAAAAATGATGGGGTATGTCAAAAGTACATGAAAGTCAAGCCAAAAGAGTGCCCAATGGTCAAAGCTGGAACTATTTGAGAAACAAAATAAGTTGTATTGGATTATAACCCAAAGTAAAAGATAAATATCCATAAGTCCATAGTGACACCTACCAATAAATGATTGAATAAATAAATGAGGGAGAAAAGACAAATCTCCTATGCAGAATTCCCAATAATTATGTAGATACTCACCCTCAACGATGTAGTGCATAGCTAACCACTCCTTAAGTGTAGACTGTACATTGTGATTTCCTTCCAAAGAGTACAGTATGTAAGGTGGGACAGAGGAGAAACCTGACAAACAGTATCTCAGCCAGATGATCAAGATTAACATCAAAAGTATATGCCATGTTAATATGTGTAGAAAATGGCAGTTCAACTTTGTGATCTTCATTCTCCAAACCTGTAAGCTCCGTTTAATAATGAAAAATAATTAGATATTAATTGAGGGGCTCCTTAAAACTGTCAAGGTCATAGGAAACAAGGAGAGTCTGAGAAATTGTCACAACCCAAAGAAGCCTAAGGAACTATGACTACTAAATGAGATGTGGTATCCTGAATGGATGCTGAAACAGAAAAATGATATTAAGTAAAAGCTAAGAAAATCTGAATAAAGTTTAGATTTTAGTTAATAGTAATGTATCATCATTACTTCATTAATTGCAACAAATATATCATTCTAATGAAAGATGCTAATAATAGGGAAAACTGGGCTTGAGGTATAGGGAAACTCTGTACAATTATCACAATTTTTCTATAAATCTAAAACTGTTTTAAAATAAAAGTTTATTTAAGAAGAATTTATTCTTGCAAACCTTTATGTCTTGCCCATATATAATTCACTCTACCTAATGTACTCAGCTGTTCATATTCTTCATATTTTTCCTGAATTTTCCAATAATAATTATCAATAGTAATGGTCAACTGCCAATCATCTACAAATGGACAAATTCCACTGCAACAAATTCCAAGATATTATTCAACCCTATTGAACAAAACCATTTTCCATGCCATAGGCAACCATCCACATAATGGTGGTTTGCTGGTGTGAGCACAGTAAATACAATAAATTCCAAATGCTACCTTTGAGAGACAGTTCTTTTCCACATTTATTTAGCAAAGTTCTATGTGCTCTTGGTGTGGTACAGCACTATATTGTATTTGAGTAACTGTACTCCATGAAATATTCTTAATGTATTTTGACATATTTCCTAAAGAATATATAAATAATTTGTAAAGATTTTATCATTATTTGGAGGGAAGAGGACAATGAAAATAGGATTAGAATATTTTCCTGGCCATAGACAATTAATAAATCATTAATAAAGTCCCTCATTACTTTTCAGGGAAAATTTGAATGAAAGCTTAAAGATGTCAGTGATACCAATATTTGGGATGCTAATTTAAATATCCTAGTTAGTAGGATTTGAACATAGTCTTTATTTATAAATAGATCATATGCTCCAATGCAAAAGATTTTGAGGTCTGAGGGGCACAGGTCAGTTATGAACTCTGAAAAAGAAGTCTCAAATCCAAACTCTGGAGAAAAAGAGTATGTCTTTGGATTCTACTGTGAAATACCATATCAACTACTCAATTATAAGCTTAACTTATGTATGATGGTAACTTTAACAACATAAGTTTCACCTTTAACAACCTGTCTTACAGCTGCATAGGGAGATACTCCCTATGCTTTAACAATTAGTCTGTAATGTGGAACTTGCAACCAAAAGTTAAGGTAAAACCTATGTCAAAATAACAAGGGTAAAATGGTAAAAATCTACATATCATTTTGAAAAATACAGGTAGTCCTTGAATTTATGAGGATTTATAGTCTGGAAAGACACTGTAGCTTGAAATGAGATAAATCAAACCTAAGATATTACAGAAAGTGTTAAAAATAGAAAAAAATTGTGTGCCTAATGTTATATATCAATGACCATAAGCACATTTTACTTACCATTTAGTCAACTGTAAATTATTCTGTAAGTGGTTTAAATTTTTCTGAAGCATAACATATAAAATAAGACAAATACTGCAACCCATCATGTAATTTTTTTAAAATTTGGTTTAATAATGTGATCCCTGGGAGAATGAGTGTGCAGGTCTATAAACCTCAAAGAAACATCTTGGGAAGAAATCTGACCCATATTTGTCTCATCTGCAAAATATTAATGATGGGTAGGACTATACAGTTGATAGGATCCCTTCTTGGTACTAGAATTCTATAATTTAGTCAGAATAAATGGCCTTGGGAGGTAGCCTAAAGTATTCAAGAGAGACTGGTTAAATATCTGCCAAGGAAAGGGGATACCATATGAAGAGAATCTTTTCCAGGAGAGAAGCTGTGTCCACAATTAAGTGATTAAAAGCTCCCCTCCCCCACCCTGGGAGAGGACATTTGCCATGTGGAGGTAGATCTGAGGTCCAGCGCCTGGAACAGAGGGTTTTATGTCCCAGACATTATGATAAACCAGTCTGATTAGGTAACCAAATGTGTATATTATGCAACTTGCTATAATAGATAAAAGAAATGTCTTAGATGTTCACAGCAGTTGTAGAACATCAAATTGCTTTCTGTTTGCTATTAATACTTTTCACTAAAATCTTCTTATATTCCATTTGAAACATACAGGAATGCATGTTAATAACCATGGGATTAACACATTTTCTCTTCTAACCTCTCACCTCTGTGTAACATGGCCCCAGTGTGTCATTTTTTCATCATGCAGTATGTTCATAACAGTAGCTTTATGTAAACAGAAGAATAAACAGTACAGCTATCACCTCAAGACACTGTCTCAATAGATTGTCATTTGAATGAGGCTTGTGATTACAGCACTTTTGATACCCTATACAAGGGAAAGTCCCCCTCTATTTGTTTACAGGATCATCTTGGATCTACTTGCTCCTATCACTGCCCAATTCACTCTCCTGAAACATTTTTTTTTCCATACTGGCGTGTTAGTGTGTGCTTTGAAAATTTTATCCAAGTTTAACATAACAAAGAATGTAACTGTGTAGAAAAATCTTTAATCCTGAAGGAGGAGGAGGAAGAAGAGGATTAAAAGGAGGACAAGAAGATCCTTTATTTCCCTTTGATGGACTAAAGAAGCAAGAAGCACCAGCACTGTCCGAAAACCACAATGTAAGAACAAATAGGAATGGTTTTACACAATCTTTGAGTTTGGTATGGGACTCACTTTATTCACCAAGAATGTGCCCTATACTCAGGACCCAAATATCTGTAAATCTTATCAACCAACTACAATGTTATGCCCTCTTTTGCCTGGGAACTTGAAAAAAGTCATTTTAGGACACTACCAACCACATTGATATATTGATTCAAAAATATGGATAAGAATTCTATAAAACAAGAGAAAAATTAAAAAAAAGCAGCATATGTTTGTTCACAGCCTTGAATTTGATTCCTGTGTTTTTATTGTAGGAAAAATGTCCTATCTCATAACGAGCAGGGGAGGGGGCAACCATGGGTGCCGCACTGGAATTCAACCCATGTGGAGGTTGAAAAAAATTGGGGATGAGACACGGAAGAAATGAAGATGGAATATAAGGAGTCTTCACGAAAGATCAGCTATCTTTTCCTCCAGTCTCATCAGTCTGGGTCAGTGAGCTGTATCCCATACCACAGGCAAACTGAGTCAAAGAGGAAAAGATGATCATGATCTTATAGAACACGGGCGTGTGCACGAAAGAGACCAGCGCAGCTCTTCTAGTGCAGTCTGTACCGATTACGCGGTGTCATGGCGCCGGCGGTGCAGAGACAGGTGGTCAGAGCGAGAAAAGCTACGATTGCAGTCTGTGCACCGGAAAGGCTTGATGCCTGTGTGCTTGCGGAAATGGCGGGTGAGCTCATCCGAGCGAGCAAATTTCCAAGAGCAACCATCCCAAGTGCATTTATAAGGCTTCTCTCCTAAAAAAAGAAAATATGACAAAACAAAAGAAGTCAGATAAGAGACGTTTGGATACTGGAAAGATAACAGAGTACATAACCTTTTATTAAGGCTTTGGTCAAAAACTTAAGCAATCACTTTAAAGACTTTTCTCCTTCACTTATACTGAAGTCCCAAAGAAAAGCCACGATGGTTGAAAGGAAAACACATAGGCTGTGCCTCAAACTGGCCTTTGTTTAAATCCTGGCTATAATACATAGTAGTTGTGTGACCTTAAATAAGTCATTTCTCCCTGACTGGGTCTCTGTTTTCTCATCTCTCAAGAGGGATAAAAATATCTCACAAGGTTGTTTGAAAGATTTTTATCCTTTAAACACAGCCAACAAATGATGAAACTGAGATCCAAACCCAAATCATTGATATTTTCCACTATACCACATGGTAGTAACTATATTTTCTTCTCTAATACCTCCCAACAAATGGTCTGAAATAGAACCATACACGCAGAAAGAATGTGTGATTCACTGGAATGGAATCTCAGCTAAGACCTTTCTCTGTGAAAGATCAGAAACTCAATGGCATGGAATGGGGTGAGAAGTGTCAAGTCAAACTATTTGAAATAGATGCACTTGGGCTATATATTGAATATGTATGCTCTGGGTGGAAAACTAAGTGAAAAAAGTAACATAAAGAACATTAACACAGTATGACTCCCATAGTGGTGTATATATCACCTAACACATATTTATATACTCAGAAAAAAGGCAAGATCAATTCACTTAAATGTAAATTATGAGATGAATTAACAGTGAGTGAATATCCAGAAGGTGAGAATGAGAATGGTGAAAAGAGGAATTTCTCTTTTTACTTTGCACCTTTCTGTATTGTTGGAATGTTTTAAAAATCATGGTATTGTATCTTATAATAAAAATTTTAAAGTAAAAAGATAAGAAGCTATATAATAAAAAATAAATATTTACTATAGTTAAGGTCATAGGATTAGGGTAATGATTGTTTTCCTTTTAATGTGCTTCTCTATTTCCCATCTTCTACAATGACCACGTATAATCTTATAATCATAAATAAGTGACAATGAAGATATAAAATGCATTGTTTTCATTAATTATTAAATTTATTTATTTATTTATTTTTGGCTGTGCTGGGTCTTTGTTACTGCACATGGACTTTCTCTAGTTGCGGTGAGCAGGGGCTAATCTTTGTTGTGATGTGTTCTTATTGAGGTGGCTTCTCTTGTTATGAAGCACAGGCCCTACAGTGCATGGGCTTCAGTACCTGTGGATCTTGGTCTTAGTTGCATGCGAGATCTTCCTGGACCAGGGATCAAATCTGTGTCCCTGCATTGGCAGGTGGATTCTTAACCACTGGACCCCAGGGAAGTTCAAAATGCATTGGTATTTTAATGGTTTGTCTTACTCTAGCTCATTCTCCCCTTTCTCCTTATAAATGCTCCAGAGTATTTTATTTTATGTTGTAGTAAATTATGGTGACAATCTGGTTTGCATATGTTGTTTTTCAGCTTACTGCTCAACACTTACTAATCTTTCCAAGTGCTTACTAATTTAATTAACTGAGTAACTTTCAAATAATGGGCAACAGAATGACATTCACTCTGACTCACAGTTGTGGAAAATACCAAGGCAACTATTTTGAAGATTCATTCCAATTACTGATAATTTCAGTATTGATACCAATTATTTGATACCTATTACTGATAATTTCAATATTCAGACATTGGTGCATTAACTGTTAAGAATAATTAGATAAGAGTTGGATGTATTGAAAACAAAAGATGGCCAATGAAATGTTATAAAATGAAAAGAAAAAGCTACTGAATAGCTAAGCATCACACACACACACATGTAGAGTAGGATCCCATTTATGGTTGGAGGTAGGGGTAATGTGCAACACTAAACATTTTTAAACTCAAAAATGACTTGATCATGTTGAATGTTGAAATGATCTAGCCATGATATGCAAGATGGATTACAATGGGTACAAAGCTACTGGCTTAATCTCTTGTCTGTCACATATAGGTACTCAAAATATTTATTGAATTGATGAGGGAAACTAGAGTAAATGTAACATAAGATTGAAATAAATAAAATCAGAAATAAGAGACAAGATATTACAATGGATGCCTCAGAAATAAAAATGGTCAGAAAAGACAATTATGTATAGCTATATGCCAACAAACTAGATAACTTATAAGAAATGGACAAATTCCTAGAAACATAACCTACAAAAAGTAAATTAAAAAGAAATAGGAAGCTTGAATAGATCAATAACAAATAAAGAGATTAAATCAGTAACCAAAAATCTCTGAACAAAGAAAAGCCCAGGACCAGAATGCTTCACTAATGAATTCTACAAAATATTCAAAGAATTTATACTAATTCTTAATATCTTCCAAAAAATGGGATAGGAGGGAACACTTCCAAACTTATTCTATGAGGACAGCATCACTTTGATATCAAAACCAAACCAAGTGCAAGATAAGAAAACTATAGGTCAATATCCTTGATAAATACACATGCAAAAATCCTCAATAAAATCCTACCAAACTGAATTCAATAGTATATTAAAAGGACTATGCACCATGATAAAGTTAGACTTATCCCTAGGATGATGCAAGGATAGTTCAGTGTATTTAATCAATCAGTGGGATAAAACACATTACCAAATTTAAGAAAAAAATGGCATGATTATCTTAATAGTTGTAGGAAAGCACTTGAAAAAGTTCATGGGGGATTTTCAAGATGGTGGAGGAGTAAGACATGGAGATCACCTTCCTCCCCACAAATACATCAAAAATACATCTGCATGTGGAATGACTGCTACGGAACACCTTCTGAATGCTGGCAGAAGACCCCAGACTTCCAAAAAGGCAAGCTATTCTCCACAGAATGAAGGAGGGCAAAAGAAAAAGATTTAAAAAAGAGACAAAGGGATTGGGATGGAGACCTGTATCCCAGGGAGGGAGCCATAAAGAGGAAAAGTTTCCACACACTCAAAAACCCCCTCACGAGCAGGGACAGAGAAGCTTTAGAACCTTAAAGGGGAACTCAGCAACAGGTGCTTGAAAGGCAAAATGGATAGAATTCACCACAGAGACGGTTGTCGATTAGCACATCCCAGCCCAAGACACTGTTTGCACACCTGCCATGGCACATGGGGATTGGGTTCTGAGGCTCAGGCTTCAGTGGTCAGACCCCAGGGAGAGGACGGGGGTTGACTGCCATGAAGATACTCTGAGGGGGCTAGTATGACACAGCTGAGGGAATCCAGGGAAAAGTATGGGCCACAGAGGCAAGAGATAATTGTAATGGGAACCCTTTAACTCCACACAGATAACAGATCACAGGGCCCCACCTTTGTGTGTGCCATAGGTGGGACAAGCTGCAGCTGTGGACTGCAATGCCAAAGGCTGGGATATACTGGCTGGCCACCATAAGGGTTGACCTGAGTGCTGGAGGCAGAACTAGCTACAACAGAAGTTTGAGATCCCAGAGCAGGATATGCCAGACAGTTGGCCACCACCAAAGCCTGCTCAAGTGCCAGAGGCATGGGAAAAGATGCCACTACAGTCCTGATTCAGTGGTTTCTGCTATCATCAAGCTGTGAGCAGCTGCAGTACACTGACCACACCTTTCTTGGAGGCTATGCAGCTTGGCTCGGCCAAGGGACACGCGACACAGGGCCAATTCCCCTGGGGGAGCCCATGACCTGACTCAGGCAGGACCAAATTTTTGCAGGTCTTGGCCACCACAGGCACTCCCCTCACACACCAGTTGTGTCTGTTGTAAACCTCACTATTTGCAGCCCAACTGAGTGAGTGAGACCAAATCAGCCACCACTTTTGTCTCCTCTTATCTGGACAGGGAACAGACACTGGAGGGTGGCCTACAAGCAGAGGTGGGGGCAAAACCAAAGCTGAGCACCTGGAGCTGTGTGGCCAGAGAAGAGGCAGGGAAACAGCTTCTGCAGCTTCAGGTTCACCAGATTAAATCCCCACAATTAGTTTGAGATTGTGGACTTAGGGGGCAATTGTGGACTTTGGAAGCAAGTATAAGCTGGAGTGAGGCCACATCTGAGTCTGAGCTGGCCCCACAGTGCCCACAGCAGATCCAGAGACCTTCCTAGAAATATTGGAGGACTTAAGAGTAGGCAGTTTATAAGCAAGGTGAAAAGACAGCCCTCAGATTGGGAGAAAATAATAGCAAATGAAGCAACAGACAAAGGATTAATCTCAAAAATATACAAGCAACTCCTGAAGCTCAATTCCAGAAAAATAAATGACCCAATCAAAAAATGGGCCAAAGAACTAAACAGACATTTCTCCAAGGAAGACATACGGATGGCAAAAAAACACATGAAAAGATGCTCAACATCACTCATTATCAGAGAAATGCAAATCAAAACCACAATGAGGTACCATTACATGCCAGTCAGGATGGCTGCTATCCAAAAGTCTACAAGCAATAAATGCTGGAGAGGGTGTGGAGAAAAGGGAACCCTCTTACACTGTTGGTGGGAATGCAAATTAGTACAGCCACTATGGAAAACAGTGTGGAGATTCCTTAAAAAGCTGGAAATAGATCTGCCATATGACCCAGCAATACCACTTCTAGGCATACACACTGAGGAAACCAGATTCGAAAGAGACACGTGCACCCCAATGTTCATCGCAGCATTGTTTATAATAGCCAGGTCATGGAAGCAACCTAGATGCCCATCAGCAGACGAATGGATGAGGAAGCTGTGGTACATATACACCATGGAATATTACTCAGCCATTAAAAAGAATTCATTTGAATCAGTTCTAATCAGATGGGTGAAACTGGAGCCCATTATACAGAGCGAAGTAAGCCAGAAAGATAAAGACCATTACAGTATACTAACACATATATATGGAATTTAGAAAGATGGTAACGATAACCTTATATGCAAAAAAAAGAAAAAGAGACTCAGATGTATAGAACAGACTTGTGGACTCTGTGGG